GCCACGACAAACATATAGAAACAACACAATTAGACGCAAAAACTGTGAACAATTGGTGAGCAACCAAATCTTTCTCACCCCCACCCAAAATAAATGGTTTGCATATGAATTTGATTATGCGTGTTTGCCTGGTAAATATTGTTGTATTAAGAAATTCAAATATGTACCTGTGTCTTGTAGAGAAATACATTGGAATCATAGGGTGGAGCTTTGTTGTTTTCCCTGCCAATGCCACCCCAAACAGCATTAGCTTCTGGCCAGGCTCCCCGCTTTTCAAACTGTCACACCCGGTGCGTTGAGGTACGATCGGAAACTTGAGAATCAGACTATTAAGGCACTTTACCTGTTGTAAGGTTCAGGACAAATGCTTATAAAATAACCAAAAAATAATAATAAATTCCCTACAATTTTCAGTGCTCTTTAGTGCCCCCTGGTGACCCTCCCCAATTTAAAAGCCACTGGTTTAAAACACAATTTTTGGTGCATAACAGAATGATATTGGAGAAACTGCACGTGATTCATATTTGCAGAATTTAAACCTTTTTTTTTTTTTTTATTGTTTTAGTCCTTTGTCTTAAAGTCTAACATTTTTACTCCTCATTTGTAGGGTTTACTGGCCACTGTTTGTACTCATCTTCTACATATTAAGTCCCATCCCGACCTTCATATCCCGACGCCTCAGCGATGACACGGACTCTTCCAGCAATGCATGCCGAGAGTTGGCCTACTTCTTAACCACCGGCATTGTAATATCAGCTTTTGGGCTTCCTGTTATTCTGGCTCGCGTCAACACAGTGAGTTGCCCATCCCTGTGTTTGAAATATACATATTTTTTTTTTTTAGATCTTTTTGTGTTGATGCCTCTTACCAGTCTTTTTTAACTGGCTAGTGTCTTCCAAAAAAAGTGTAGTTTAAAAAAGTTGTTTACTTCTGCCTTCCAGATCCAATGGGGCGCCTGCGGTCTGGTCATGACTGGAAACGCTGTCATCTTTCTCACCATTCTTGGCTTTTTTGTTGTGTTTGGAGGTGGGGATGACTTCAGCTGGGAGCAGTGGTAAAGGACAGAGCGCAGACACGAGGAAGGGAAGGTCGGATTGATGATAGGTTGGTAAGGTTGGTGAAAGGTGGAGTAGATTAACGTTGCGTACAATAAGGCGGGTTTGTCCTGGACTCGGTGGGAATAATGTTAAGGCTGCAAAAAAATGTCACATTTACTGGGCGTGTTATCATGCTGACGTTTGTGTAACCCATGATCCTGTTTAGTGCCTTATGTCTGGGGGACCAGGTGAAGACAGATGTCTATAGCCTGCTTATGCTTTATTACTGTCCATCTATTTTACCTTTTCTTTGACTTTTTTTTTTTTTTTTGTATCTCCAAAACCCTGTTCGTTGCTGCCTGCTATTTTGTTATACTTAACAACAGGATATTATACTAAAATGACCATAGTACACCACTTGGTTCACTGGATTATCCATACCAGCTTTCCAAACATTTAATTATTTCAAGTTACGCTAACCTTCCGTGCACTCATTTATCTAGTTCAAAAAAATTAGTAATTCCATTAGAAAATAATCATGGCGTCTCTCATGTTCTCTTGCAATTGTTTACAAACACACACCAAAGATCGTCTAAGACTACAAAACATGAATGTTCTCGATTAAACAAAAGGCTTGGATTCATTTAATATAACTGCTTCTGGAATGTCACTTTTTTTTCTTTTTTTTTTAATATTCCAAGATGTTCTACATCTGGCTTGTCACAGTTGGCACTTTAAACACACATTAACTCACAGTAGCATCCCTAGAATCTTATGGTTGCCTGCGCTTCTGGTCATGCATGCAAACGACACAATAGGTGGAACAGTAGTGTGTATGGGTTGTTGGGTTTTTTTTTTGGACACTAGGCCAGCGTTTCCCAAACTTTCTTTTCTGTGGATGCATATTTTAAAAGTCACAAACCTTCGCGACCCAAGTCAATAGACATGTTTCGTAAACTCCCAGTCTTTGGGAAACTCTAGTCCCCCCCCCTCCAAAAAAAATTGGACATTATTAGATGCTTTGAAGTTTGTCACAGAGATACTTGCTTGCCAACAGCAAAATAGCTTATGGTGTTCTCAAATTTCCCTGAGACATTTCCCTAAGATTCATTGAATTTTACGGAGGAAAAAAAAACAAAACAAGTGACAGCACTGACCCGCTCACAAAAAAAAAAGGATTTTTATAATACTAACAAGTTAATGTGTTGTAAATTATATTTTTTACATGTCGAGTTTAAAACCTTTCACGTCGTACTTGGTCCTAAGGGGAAGGCCTTAACTTTCAAACATTGTATCACAAGTGCCTATGTAAACTGATAAAAGCTGAAGTCTGAAGACTTTAGCCAAATGAAAATGTGTTTCCAGGCAACTGAAATATATTACTCTTGGGTTTAAATAGCGCCTTTGTGTTAACTGTTTTCCTTCAATGTTTTTATCCCTACTTTAGAGACTATCAGACCTGATGTGTTTTTGAACCTTTTTTTTTTTTTTGAACACTGAGTGTCCTGTATACTTTCATTTTGTTTCCTTAATGTCCAATATGCAAGTGCTTTACATGAAATGTCTTATATCATCTTATATCCCGTCTTGAGCTAAAGGGTTTGTTCTCTCTATTCTCCTTGGAACACTAAGTTTGCTAAAATAAAGGTTCATCTAAGAGCTCTTGAATGGCTGACATTGATTAAAGTCTCTGTTTTGTGAAACAACAGCATATGACCAGATCTTGGGATTATTTATTGTACATATTATGCACAGTGTGTGAAAAAAAATAGCTTTGTTTGGGCAATGTAGGCATTTTTTTTTTGGCTTTGGAAAAATGGACGATGAACTTTATCGGACCTCAGCAAGGCTCATCTCTGCCTCTCGCTGATGGATTATACATCAAAATATACACTTGCACATTATTTATAAGGGTGAGGCTGAAAACACGAGCGCTGGAGGAGCTTCCCACATTAGACACTGACAGTAGGTGGTGTGTGGGTAAATCTGTTTGATGGCTGCTACATCGGACTCATCGGAGGTCAGACAGGCGAAACAGCTGCTAAAACACCTTAGCATGTATTACTGTGCCCAGTAATCAGCTATTCTCCGCAATAAGAATTTCTTTGTTGTTTTGCAGGTTGCAAACATGCAATAATAATTTCTTTGTTCTTTTGCAGCTGCAAACACGTTAATAGAACTACCAGCTAGCATCAAGCTAAGATTTATTTTTAATTTTTTTTCAGGATGTAATCATCCCTACAGCTGTATCGAAGTTCAGGGGTTTCATTTTATTCTCTGTTCAAGTGTCAATAATTCACTGGAGCATTACACTAGCCAATTAGTGTCTAGTGAAGTATACCTCTCCTGGAAAAACAAAGGAAAACCCTGCTCTCCACCAGTGAATTGTTCTATGAAAAGCATTCGAGTCATCCGCCTCCAGTTTTTTTTTACAGGCCAAATGGAAAGAGGATGTGTTGACTGACAGGTTTGTAGCAGGTTTTCCGGCTGTATAAATTTATGTGGAATAAAATAAAATACATTTTAATTTGGTTATATAATTATATCTCCTAATACAGACTGCGAGTAGAACATTTGCATGTTGAAGCAAAGGTACATGTGTACATCAAGGTACATATGCTACTCCTGCTACATTTTCAATGGTACTCCTGTACCATTGAAAATGTACATGTTCGTTATATATATTTATATTTACACTGACAGCCGCTAGAGGGCACTCTAGCTGGCTGGTGGGAGTCAGAACATTGGTACATGGGGTGCTAGCACCCAGACAAGTATATTATTTATTTATATATTTGGTTGGGCTAGGTCATGCACATCGGTCAGACTCGTGCACAACTAAGAAAACACCCGGAAAGAGGGTGTTTGTTTTTTTTGCAGGATTAGCTTAGCATCTCCCGACTTGCTTTCCTGGGAATGACTTTTGAACATAACAAATCAGCAAAAACAAAAAGAAAAAAAAAAGTACTGTACGTATTGTGACTTTAAAGGGCAGTGCAGACTAAATTTGCATTTGCTGTTGTCCTAAAGTTCACCCAGCGTTAAAGCTGTCTGGCACACAGTGGTCAGTGGGGACAGTTCGTTGTCTGCAGGCGGGGGGGTGGAGTTAGGGGGGGGGGTTGCGTTCTCGCAGCTATTGGCAAACGGAAAAAAATTCGCGTGGTCGCTGCAGAAACCAATCGATGAGCCCCGGTGCTGCGTCCGTGGAACAAGCGCGAACAGAACAAATGGTCAGGGAGGATAAAACGGAGCGCGTGCCTCAGTCGCGCGCGGCAGAACGGGGAGACAGACTGCTGGTGTCCGCGCAGCAGCCGGGAGAGCGGACGTCCACAGACGGTAGGACTCGAATGTCTCTTCCTCTTGTCTTCTCAGTAGTAAAACGCACCCTGGAATTGAAACGTTGTCTTTCTGCACGAACCCTCTCCCAATTCCTCCTCAAGTCCGAGACTTTGGTGTAGTGTGAGCAGCCGCTCTGCGTTTGAAGTGCGTCTAAAACAAAAGCAAGGATAATGTATTTATTTGATAGTTTCCTGGCGCACAGCAGCAATTTCTGAGGAAATATGAGCGCTATAACATCACATTCAGCACATTTGTGTTTCCTTTCTCTCTCCTCCTACCGACAGGACTTTGTTCGCCCTGGTAGACTTCATCTGTCTCTCATTTGACAGCCCACTCTGTCAGTGTGGTCTGCGAGATTCGACGAGGAGCTGCTCCCTACATCCTACAAAGAACGGGTAGGAAGAAGCTAAAAATGTGGATGTTATTATCGATTTAATTTTTTTTTTAACAGCTGTGGTTGACTTTTGTGTACAGTATATCCGATCATTGTTTTGTCTGTGTTTGCCGTGGAGAACATTTTCCATGATTTTATCAAGGCTCGAGTAGAGTTTATCTTTGATAAAGCGTCTGAATATTCTAGAAAACTGAAACTATGTATGGTTTTAAAAAAATTATCCTGACTCCATACATTACAAAAAGTCGACATTTCTTTTAAAATGCATCACTGAACTGGACACAAAAAAAAATCACACAAAATTAAGTAAATTGCATACATTATTCTGTCAATGGCCAACTATTTCAGTTGGAACTTGCGTCATACTATTGCGTCATTTCTATTTATGAAATTAAACTGCAATTTTGACCAGTATTTAGATGCATATACTCAAGGAGTTGTTATTGTGGTAAAAAGTCAGGAACGATACGGCAAAGTATAACTCGAGTGCCTTTTGGCTATTCGGACGGTATTTTAAGACACTGAGTGCCCTCTAGCGGCTGTGAAATGAAATACTCTTCCTGCAGTGTTGGCAATAAAAACATGCGTATCAGAGCAACAATAAGGGAAAGGTTAGTGATTAATCTTCATAACGTCCATTGACGTGATTAACGTTTTCAAGGGTGGGAATTTCTGGATAGCACACGATTGGATTATCATTATGAAAATCTAAAACCATTATGACATTATATAAATCAATACAAATTTTGAAAGGTTTTTTTTTGTTTTTTTTTTTAAATACACTCTTAAATAATCTTATTATCCGTAACAGTGTTACTAATACAAATGGATCAACACGTCTCTTTTGTTATTTGAAGACAAACACCCTAATTACACTTCTGCGTGTTTTGTTTCTGAGTGACTTAATGGCGAATCGCCCTTGTTCACAAATACATTACAGTAGAGTAAATACAACTCCAGAGATAGCAGATGGATAACAGTTCAAAGTTAATTAAGTGTAGTCAGTTGACGGCCAAAAACTGTCTACGATGACGATATTACCTCGTGAATTTTAAAAGAAATTGAGAAGTATGAAAAAAAAATGGTAATTTGTTTAGACAGGAACCAGAACGAACAGAAACCAGTTGTTATTCTTTAAAAAAAAAAAAAAAGAGAAGTGTGGAGCACTTGTTGGTTGCGTTTCTACTGCCTTAAAGGCCAAACATGGCCACCAGTCAGCTTTCAAGACAGGAGGTCTTCTACCATGTGACCTACTAAACCTCTGAATTGACACACTGGCGACCACTTTTATGAGCCAACTGGTTAAGGAACCTAGTTGACATGACGATATGTGTTATAGCTCTATAAAATCCAACCACCTGATTTTTACCTGGTTTATAACAGCCCTCCCGTTGACATTACTGACATTTAGTTTTATTTGGATCCTTTTCTCAATCCATTTTTTGTTTTCCATTTGAGCCAATTGTCCAATAGGAAAAACAATCCAGTCTGCCAGCTGCCTAAGGATAGGAATAATTTGATTGCATTTTTTTTTTTTTTTTTTCAAACATCATTGCAATCACTCCGTGTGTGTGTTGTATAAGCTGGGGCAGCGGTGGCTTAGTGGTTAAGCAAGAGGACTTGGAGCGGCAGGGGTTCAGGTTCGAGTCCCCCAGCTGCCAAGTTACCACTGAGTTGTTGAAGCTGTTCACTTTCCTTTCCTTTAACCGGAGAAACCAAGAGAAGCATTTTCGGCCACAGCCCTAGACGAGGATAACCAATCCAAGGACAGATATTTTAGATGTCTTTATTCAAAACTGACTTTTTCCTTCTGGGAAAATTCTGAAAAATGGAATCTTTTAAAGTCACTCGCAGTGCCATTCATTTGGACAGTGAACGTACGACGAAGGACGAAGAGAAGAAAAGGAAATTTGTTGCAGTACGTATTCAGGTAGACATACAAAACAAAACAAATATTTGGCATGCATCCCATCAGGGAAACCAGAACAACGGGCTGTGGAAGTTGGAGGGATCCTTTGTTTGTAATTGTACGTTTGTCCGAAATCGAACAAACGTACAGTCGCACTAAACGCGCAGCGATCACTAAACAAGCCCAGTCATTTAACCACGAGGCTCCTGGCTGCCCTTGAAACCGTGCGTTCCAGAGTTTCTTTGCTTTGATTGAGTGTCAAAAGATCAGTAGCTGCTGCAGTGCTATTATATATAAATATATTTTTATATTTCGTAGATATAAACTGATCAGAGCTTGAAAAAAAAAACAAAATATGCCCACAATAAATGGACCTCGGCACAGGTTTTTTTTTTTTTTTGCCCGTCTCTAATCCACATTGGTCCTCATCAGTGGTCCACAGCTCTATAATGCCATTATAGATGTGTATGTGCAAGGGCATTAAAATGCTGCACATAGCTGACGCGCTTTGGAACAACATGAAGAGCCGCGGAGACGTAGTGGTGAAAACAAGTTTCGTTGATGTAAGTGCAATTATTAACGGCTAGTTTCTATCGTTAAACGTTGGAATGTTAATCAGTTCAGGCAACAGGCCTTCAGTCCGTAAGCTTTTCTTCGCCTGTTTCTCGGGGCTGACATTTCTACACGACTGACTTTTCAATTCCCGGTCTTCTCGTCTCACTGTTGCCTAAAAAAGAGCCTCACAGCCTCATCTGTGAGTACGATTTCCTGTTTTGAGTCAAACTGCGGAGAAAGCCGCTTGATGAATTTTGTCAAATTATATTTCACTAAATATGACTATTTTGTAATGTTTGTGTAAATAAGGTATGGTTCCTATGTGGCTTCGTATGAGAGTTGACTAGTCGTTTGTAACAACGGAGTCGGTTGTTCTACTGTACACGGTCGCCTCGCAATAATGAAAAAAAAAAGGGGAACTTCCCAAAAAGTCAACATTTCCTTTCCGCTTGTGAATGCCAGTAATGTAGTAATGGTA